TAATCCTTTTCTTTTGAATTAATCTTTTATTATTTTGACTATTGTTTGGTCAATACTATCCATTATTTTGATTATCTTATTTAGTAATTGAATTTCTTACTTAGTAAATTCCTTATTAAATCTCCTTGTAATAATTTAACGATAATTAATATACTTGATTAGTCAAAATTGTTTTTTGGCTTATCCTTTTGATCAAATTTTCTTTTTAGTTAATTTCTAAATTTAATTCTTTTGTATCTTATGTTAATTTCCTGTTATAAATATTAGTTAATTTTTCTTCTCTTAACTTTTTCTTTGAATCATTTAAATACATTTTCATTTAGTTGATTATTTTATAGAGTAAACTTTCTATTAAAAATTTAAATTTTATTATAGTAATTTTTTTTATTGCCATTTTTAATGAGAGGTGTAGGAAAAAGACAAACTTAAGTTCCTGACAAATATAATCCTAGTGTTTCCTATCCCCCTCCTTCCATATTACCTACTTTTAATTTATCACTTAATATGTCTGACAACGAGGATAATATTACTATTCGTTCCACTTCTCCACCTCATGATGATCCTCATTTTGACCTTAGTTCCCTTTTAATTGATTTCCATGCTGACTCTAAAAAACAATTCGAAGAATCCCAACGCAATGCCAAACTTCTTTTTCTGATCTTAAAAAAGACATGACCGAAATCAATACTAAATTATTAGAATTACTTGAAAATAACAAGGCAGAATGCAAATCTTACACAGACAATAAAATTTCAGATGTCCGAGTCGAATTAAATCCGACATGTCTAAATAATCGGAACGTATATGCTTAGTTGAAGGTCAAGCTGCTAGGTTAGCTGCCCTTGAGTCCTCTGTCCAAAAACTTCAATTATCTATTCCTGATTCTAATGTAATGCCTCCTCTATCTCAAAAACCTCATATTGAAACTGAAAATCCCAAAAAACTTAGATTCTCTTTTGACTCTCAAATGTCTTCTACCACTTTTTCCCCTCAACTCAAACAATTTAATACTGAACCCCATTCAACTTTCCTTAGTCAACCAACCCTTCAATCCACTCTTTCCAATAATTTGTTTAAAGATTCTCTGTCTACCCAAACTAATTTTAATGCTGAACCTCGTCCTTCTTTATCTTTAAATAATACTTATATTCTCCCTTACGAAAAATTTTCTGATGTTATCCCTGAATTTAATGGTAATCTGACACCTGTTCATCCTGAAGCTTTCCTTGTTAAAGTTAATGATTATTTCCAATTCTAAGATATGAATTGAGGTGAATAACTGGTGATGCCAAACAATGGTTTAATGCTCTCACTCCTCTTCCTAATACTTTTTTCAATTTTATTGAGCTCTTTTGCCAACATTTCTGGTCCTATAGTAAACAGCTAATGACCCGTAATGAACTTTCTCGTCCCTATTCCCATCGTGATACCTCTACTCTTCAAAAACATGCTATTGAATGGATGGCTACTAGATGGCAATGCAAAGTGTAGGAAAAGGCAGCTAAAGATGACAAAAAAAACACTCGAGGTTTTCATGTAGAAGAGGGAAATAATAATTTTCCATTGCAGCTCATGATCAAAATGGTCATTTTGCAACAGACCGAACAGTGGCTAAAATTATGTAGGACTACTGGTTCCTATGTTTGTGTCACTACGCATGACAGCATAAAAACATGTATATAGATTCCTTGATAACAAAGAAAAAATTGAGTAAAAGCCAAGGACAGCTCAATCCCTCCAGATATGTGCCCGTTCAGTACCATTCATTTGGATCATTTAGAGCCATTCAAAACTAGCACTAAAGGAAACCGTTTTCTGCTTGTAATTGTCGACAATTTGACGAAGTATGTGTTACTACACCTAACAAGGACAACAGATACACGGTAAGTGTTACAAATACTTAAGGAATTTATTAGACATAGGGGTTATCCTAACATTCTGATCAGTGACAGGGATAAAAATTCTGTTCGGTTGAAGGAATAAAACATGTGCTCAATTCAACAAGTCATGCGAAAGAAAATAGTCAAGTTGAACGGATTAACTATACATTTTTACCAATTTTGTCCATTCAAGCTTCAGATCAAGAGCACTAGGATCAACATATTAAAAATCTCAAATGAGATTGAAATAAGTCAATAAACAAGATAACTATGAAGACCCCTACGAATTGTTACATTATTACATGTTATATTAACCCAGATTCCACTCTAGGAAGAAGGGATGGATCCAGCTGTACTACAATATAAAACTAAAGACAAGATACTAGAATCCCAAGGAAGAATGAAAGAGTACCATGACCGCCACCATACTGTAGCTTCTAAGTTTGACATAGGGGTGGTAGTGGTTATGATGAAGCAACCAACACCGAGGCAGTTATCAAAACTTCAAAACAAGTTTAAAGGTCCTCTAATGGTCATCTGTCATTACATTACATTACAGGATGCGGATAACTGTCTCCCTATTTTCAATACGATCTCATAAAACCCAGCGGCGTCGCAGAAAAGTTAGGATAGTGTAATTACAAGGTTAATAGTATTATCTTGAAACGGATTTAGTCTGAACCATCATATGAACCGACGCACAGCGCGCTTTCGTCGTGGAAGTATACATCCGCGAAAATAAGTCCGTCATCGGTGCGCAACGTGCGTTTCGTTTCAGATTTCAAATTCCTCGTAATCAACGAGTCCCGGACCGAAAATCAATTATTTTGTGGGTAAAAAACTTAAGAGAAACTGGATCTGTTATTAAGAGAGGAGGTGGACGTCCACGGACAGGTCGGACACCCGAAAATATCGGGATAGTAAGGCGCTCAGTGGTACAGTCGCCTACACGTTCTGCACGCAGACATGCGATGATTCAAAATTTTTTCGTACCAGATCTTGCAAACCTTAATGCACAGAATGCTTGGTTTCAACAGGATGGGGCGACAGCCCACACATTCCGAGCATTATTGCAACTTTTGAGGGAAATGTTCCCCGGATGTTTGATCTCCCTGAGAGGTGATATTCCATGGCCTGCACGCTCCCCAGACTTGAAGCCTTGCGACTTCTTTCTGTGGGGTTATCTCAAAGTTCAAGTCTTCCAATATCATCCAAGGACTCTACGAGAACTGCAGGACACCATCCGTCTGGAAATTCGGCGAATACCGCAAGAAATGCTGGTCAGAGTGATGCAAAATTTCAGAAATCGCTTACGACAGTGCCACGATAATGGTGGCCACCACTTGTCCGAAATTATTTTCAAAACCACATGAAATAAAACTGTTTAGTAGTTGCTTTCAACACATTCAAATAAAAGATATGTATTTCAAATAGCATTTGTTTTATTAAGCTTTAAAAATGGGAGACAGTTATGCCGCATCCTGTATTATTTTATGTAGCGATAAGAGCTACCGATTTACTTTGACAACGCAGGTAGTCTATTACTTAAAACAAGTGCGCTTATCGATTTACGATCTATAACGTTCGAGTGCTTAATATTAAATAAAATAAAATATTTTTTTTTTTATTAAACTAAATCTTCTAATGGTGTAAAAAAAATAGGGTTGCCATTTAAAAATATGAAGTTGATACTAATTTTAAGCATAAGGGATAGTGGTAAAAATTAAAATTTTCTTCACTTCATCAATAATCTTCTTCTTCATAACTGTTCTTACAACTTCCGATTCTTCTCTCCTCATAACATGACCACACCATCTAAGTCTATTTTCTCTCATCTTATCCACGATTGACGCTACAACTATACTCCCTTTTATATGCTCATTTCTTATCCTATCTTCTCTAGTCTCTCCACTAATCCATCTAAGCATTCTCATCTCTTCTACACTCATTCTCTGCTCTACTTTCTTATCAACCACCCAACACTCTGAACCATACATCATAGCTGGTCTCACTACAGTCTTGTAGAATTTATCTTTTAGCCTCATTGGAATTATTTTATCGCATAAGACACCAGACGCTTCTCTCCACTTCAACCACCCGCACTTAATCCTGTGTCTTACATATTCATCAATACCACCGCTCTTTTGCACAATTTCCCTTAATACTTAAAACTTTCCACCTCTCCAATCAATTCCTCGCCTATTGTCACTGAATTCCTCATTTCAATTACCTCGTGTTATCCTTTGTCAAACTCGTACTCTATATACTCTATCTTACTTCTACTTATTCTTAAATCCTTTTCTTCAAGAGCTGATCTCCACACCTCTAGTCTTTGATTAATTTTCTCCCTATTTTCTCCTATTAACACTATATCGTCAGCAAACAACATGCACCATGGCGCCTCTCCTTATTTTTCTCTAATAATTTCATCTAATCATTATAAAGAATACCTTATCAATTATCCATAATGATTAAAAAAAATATTGTTTATAACACTTGTATTTTTAAACATTACGTTACATAGTTAGGCAATCACTCTGTATATACATTTATAAGCTGTTCTATGAATGAGGACACCAATAATTTGTCAAATGGCCGAATGTTAGCAATACTTATAACAGCTGGTCACACTGACCAACTAGAACATTGGCAACATATCGAGAATGAGCTTCTCTCTTAGTGAAAGTGCTTGTATGGTGGTCTTGGAGACATAAGTCAGTCTTATAATGTAATATTAGTGAAAAGAGCTTGCGTTTTCTTATATATCAATTGTGTTATTTGTTCTTTATAAATATAGTTGTTTATTACACTATAAATGAAACTAGTAATAAACCATTATTCATTAGTAGTTATAATGCTAAAAACAAAATATGATAGAACAAATTTAAATTGTCCTTGAAATGTTAATAACATGGTGACTGTTTGTAAAACCTTTGTTAACTTAAACATTTAGTTACTGGTTCACTGTTTTGAAAAACATGAAAATTCTCAGACCAAAATTATTTTTACATACATACATAATTCTTATTTAATTTGAATTAAATATTTTTTTAGTTTTAATTTAATATATTTTTAATATTAAATAAAAAAATCTTGAGTTAAAAGAATTTTTTTTTTTACTTGTAATTGCATAACACTAATACGTAAATCAGACTCGTTGAACTCATAAGGAATGTTCCAACCTAGTGGTCCAAAATTTCTACGTTCTTGTACAACACTATGAAAAAAACAAACAGAAAAAAGCAACATTCTCCAATTAAAAATGTTTTTACACCCAGCATAAAAATCAGGATCATTTATTGGATCTGATATATACGAACGTAAAAGATTCGACTTGAGACCTTTTGGTGCTTCATTAATCATTTTTATTCCTAATAAAATTTAAAAGTTTTATATTTTAAAATGTAAACATTTTTTTTATTTACCGTTCTGCAATATTGCAACTGGAAAATCATTAGAGGGATAACTAGTTAACCAAAGACGAAAAAAATCATGTGTTTTATTTGGTGTAATTTCTTCGTCACAAATTCGATCTAGTTCTTTCATCCAACTTATAGCTAAATGACAATTTTGTAGTACAACCCATTGTCCTGTATCTATTCCAATTTTTATCATATTTTTAGCTATAGGACCCTAAGAATAAAAAAATTTATACACATAAAAGTTAATTAGAATAAAAATTAAGTTAACTTGTCCTTGGCCAAGTGATATTGTCATTAAATCTGTACGACTTAGTCCATTATCTTCTGCAAATTTTATTAAACCAGACATCGGATCGGCACCTGCCGATAGCACAAATATTAAAGGTGTACAGCAGTTAGAATCTTTAAACGAGTCTGCCAAATCAAATGGTGGTGGCTCAATATACTTTTGTCCCAAATTAATTGCTATATAATGCTAAAATATAAACAATATACCAACTTCTTATTTACCGCAAAAGATATAGTTGAAAAAATTGTAGTACTTTACCTGAACAGCAGGAACTACTTTGTCTGGTCTTAAGCATTTAACAATCACAAGTTTTTCAAAATTTTCTACATTTTGATATGGATATGGTATGATTGATTCTTGTGGATTAACTAAATCATACCACTGTTTCCATTCTTCTGATGATAGTTTTATAGACTCAAATAAATTATTTAACCTATATAAATCATCATAAATAAAAAATTTAAATATTTTTTTAAATAAACTTATTAGTTTAATGTATACAATAAAGAAAAAGTTTTACAATGAAGGCTTGAAATTGGATATAAAAATAGCATTTTAAAAATAGTTTGATTAGTCTGTAGTAGAAATGTCGAGTAATGTACAATATAATTTTAATTACCCTGGTAATTGAGATGCTCTAACGACTTCAGCCCATGATTTGTCAGTTAACCATTCAGGAGCTGGATTTGGATGAGGATTTTTGAGTCCTATTCCACCAGTCAAAAAAAAAGTCACCAGTTCATTACTTTTTGCCTATTTAGAAATGTAGTCGTATCAAGTTCACTACAATTACTAATCAAATAGGAGAATACGGGACAAAATTGGAAAAATGTAAAATTAGACAGTTCATTTTTCAATTTTTAGTGTACTGAAAAAATTGAAAACAAGATCTTTTTTGTTATTAAATCAACCAATTAACTTTCACTGCACATTATTTTTTTTTTTTTTTGGAAATTCAATCAATAATTAATAAATTCTTACGCGTCTTCTAATCAATTCGTTTAAAAATACAAATTCATTTTTTTTAATGTCATCCCTTTGCTGCTGCACCACCATTTAAAAAAGGGGCTTTACGGCACCATAATTCAGATACCAAATAACAGCGATGAACATATATCAACCATTGTCTTAATTCAAACAGCTAGTTTTGAATTCTCAACTGTAGTACCCAATAAACTTATTCCCCCGAATAATTTTAGGAAAGAAAATATAATAGAAACTAAAATCCCCTACATGACTAGTATAATCTCAGCGAGTATAGTTTTTTCGTTTAAAAATTAATTACACCAAACCACTAATAGATAATTCGAAATAAATAGTAACTCATGAATTCCGTCGAATAACGTAGGAACTAAAATATGAAAAAAAAGACTTCATGTTTATTAATAGATGAATGTCAGAGCTATTTTTGTATTAAGATTGTTAGAAAAGGGTTCAGGGCTTCTGCTATATTTTGTAGATCAAACGTATTGATGGTAAGAACAGGTCATAAGACTATGGAATGGACGGTGTAAATATACGTCAGAAAGTAGAGAGAGCGTTTACCACCGCCCTATAGATTAACTTTACACCTTAGCCAGTCAGCAAGAATACTCTAAACATACTGGAATCTTGTTGTAATAAGGCACCTGATGAGAGTGACAAAGCATTTGTGTGTTAAACAAATTGCAAAACATAAGGTACTGTGTCATATTTTAATTGTAAAACCTGGTGCATGACGGTCCAAATATATTACAAAGTATTTGACATAGGGGGTCATTTCAGTTTGGGGGGGGGGTGCGAGATGATTTCGTGTAAACCATTTTGAAATTTCATCAAGCCATATAAAAAAATATACTTACTTAAATAAATTATTATTCTTTTAATTTTTCCATAGATGTTAACTTTAATAATATATCTTCTTTTTCCTCGCCTTAATCCCAACTACTTGGGGTCGGCCACCCTAAACTTCCACTTGACACAATCTCCCATATCATCTACGCTCACTTTAGCCATCCTCATATTGCATTCACTTACATTGTAAGTACATTACAATGAAAGTTAAATTGCAAAAAAGATATTTAATTTTAAATTTCAGGCTAATTGAGACTGTTTTTAAAAAAGTAAGGGTGCAACCGCACACCCTGACCCCCAAATGACGCACCTGATTTGACAGGCATTATTTTGTAAGCTCACAACATTAAAAACATTCTCTATGTGAACTCCATACTATTGAAAATACACATAGACTATACTATTATAAGGATAAACTTTATAAATGATTATTATTTATAACGGATGAAAAACTTAAATTGTTTGTACATTGACTAGTTATTTTCATTAGTTAATTATATTTAGGGGTTTAAAATTAAAACGAGTTCAGCCCTTTTCCCTCTAAGACTATTATTATCTTCAACAAATGTTATATTTGTTTGTTCGAAATGTAAATGTTAACTTATACTAAACATTAAATGTATAACTTAACGAATTTATAAACATAACAACCTAAAGTAGTAGAAATTTGAAGTTGAATTATAAAAATTGTTATCAATTACAGATAGATGTGTAGTTAACTTAATCGAAGAGAAGTAATCAGAAAAGTTAATTATTTTGTACAATGATTAACCCCATTATTGTAAAACTATGTGTATGAATATAATGACATATATATATGTATATTTTATTATATTCATATACTATATACTAATCTGAGATTAGTTTATCTCATATATGCCCCATTTCCACTGTATTAGATTCCAGGTGTACATTTCCTCTATTGTTTTATTAAAAAAACTTAAAACTGAATGTGTTTTGTAGAGTTGAATTTAATATGTACTAATGGTACACATTAAGCCCTGGAGTCCCCAATAAGTTAAAATATTAAAAACAAAATTATTAGTATTGTGTTAAGAATGCACATTCAATATTGTATAAATATTTAATGATGAATTTATTATTAAATTATAGATATTTACTTTTGATTTAGTAATTCCAATAGTTAAAACAAATGAAAATATCAGTTTATCCTTCTCAAACAATGATTGACAAATATTTTTATATATATTATAAGTAAAATACTCGTTTAAAAATTCTATTCTTTGTTTAATAGAATCTGATTTTTGGCTTTTAACAATTGACTGAGAACATACAATAATTTTATAGTAATATTATTTTTAATTGTTTATACTACGATAAAAAAAAAGTGAATCAGCAAAATACTTTTACCTGGTTATATAAATTTATAAACCATGCCAGTGAGTATTGATACATTGGATCAATATTAGACAATTCCGAAATACAAAAGAATAATATTGCAGAGTGTTGAGATACTGGTATGTATACATTACGAGCAAGATCAATTTCTTGCTCAGTTATAATTGCAGCCTTTTGTTTTACTTGAATGTCTGCTGATAATGTCTAAATAAAAATATTAACATTATTATTTGTAAATAGAAATTAATAAATTTGTAAATAAAAAATAATCATTTACTTTTGATGAAGACAGTATTTTTATAGCAGACTCATCTTCTAAGATATTGCCTTCTGATGATGATAGAACAAAAAGTATTTTATTTTCAATTTCTTTTAGCAATTTTTTATTTTGAGCATTTTGTACTATTAACTCATTTTTCTTTTCTTCTAGTTGAGGTCTTTCTTTAGCCACAACAATTCCAAGTAATTGATCTTGGAGTCCTTGTTGAGTTATCATAAAATTTAATAATGTAACCTAAAAATATTATTATTTTGAAATTATTGAGAGCTTAAACAATTTAATTTCATAGTAAAATTTCAAAATTATTCAGCAAATAGAACTTCATATTAATACAAGAAAATTGTTTGTATTACTTTAACAGAAATTTCCGGTAAGTAATGCGGATTTCGTAATCTAGTAGTCATATAAAATCTAAATGAACGGTTATACTGCAGTAGATTTTCACCAAGCTTTAAATATTCTATATTACCTTGTACAAAAATGTTTTGTAAAAGCACTGGATCTATAATAATATTTTATAACTTTATAAATATTTTAAATTTATACATATAACTTATACCTAAATATCTCAAATATGAGTTTTTGAGATTTTTTACAATTTATGTAGGGAAGGATGTTTTTAGTTGGGTACACAACTATTATTTTTATTAATACAAATATTATTTTTAGAATTATTATCAAAAATTATTATTAGAGTTGATTCTATCGAGATGATCTGTTTGTGACTTAAATAATATAAATTTTCTTCAAAAACTAAAAATTCTTAATTAAATTTTGTTCTCTTGATAAGTTTGAGTTTAATATTTTTTAGTGTTAAATTAATATTTTAGATATATTTTTAATTTTAAATAATATTAGGTTTGAGTAACCTTTTATTATTATATATCTTAAAAATTTTTAAAATTGACATATCAGCTTTTGAAAAACAAAAAAATGTCAATTTTTATGTAAAATTTCTGATAAAGTATTTACCACATAGCGACATAATTAGAAAGTTGAAGGGTGATATCCCATTCTATATCAGGTTCTACTTTATTAAATTTCTATTATAGTAATATATCTAATTGAAAAATCATTAAAGCTTAGTAACTTAGTAATGAGTAAATCTATTAAAACATATATTTTAACAAAAATAATTGTTTAAATTCAATAGCTTTTTAATAATAGTGCATTTCTTTAAGAAATTATTCATTATTTATAATATAAATTACTTTATAATAAAAAGTAACAAAAATATAAAAACAAAATTATTAAATTTTTTTTTTTCAATTATATTTTCAAGTTTGAAATAGTGATTCCAATTTAAGAATTTTTTGGTTCTTTTTTTATCTTTGGAGGAGTAAAAATTATTTAACTATATAACATTGTAGCTTTTTGAGCCAAACATTTGTTCTTTTCACAAAAATTTAAAAGTTTCAATAGATTCTGAGAATAGAATATCAAAAAGTAATCATTCTATATAATTTATTTTGGACGACATGCTCTTAAACGATTAAACCAATCACCACCATTGGATGTGTATGTAAGTGTACACAAGATTTATTCCTAAGAATCATGAGATCAAGTTTAGTAAAAAATATCGTGTAGATATATCATTTTCTTCATTATAAAATGTTTACGAAGTGTAAAAACATTTTTCAGAAAAATAAAACTATTTTAGAAAAATTCTTGTTAAAACAACTACTAGATTTTAAAATTAAATAACTTCCATTAACATCATTTAAACTCATAAAAGTAAAAAATAATAATTATAAGGATAGATTTATAAATATTTATAAAAATTCTTATTAACAATGATGTATGTCCAATAGAACAATAAAATTGATTAATTACCAAATGTAGCATCAATTTGTTCAAGAATATTTTCTAATAAAATTGGTAAACCATGTTCAATAGCTATTTGTAAGGCAGTCATATAATTTGTACTAGATAATTTAATCACTGTCAAGTTGTTATCCTTTTCCATATTTTTAATCCAATTGTTTGCTTGGCCTTGTGGATCAATCATTAAAGGCCATCGTGTAGCACTGTATAAAATAATTCCATTTTCAATTGAAAAATTATCACCTGGTAAACCAAAAATTTTCCAAGATCGTATATGCACAGGTTCTCCCAACGTTTGGATAAATGAAAAAGGGTTGGAACATGGAATTTTTTCATTTAAACATGTATGATTCCAACTCTGAATTACTGCCTAGAAGGAAAATTATTTTTAATATTAACATTTAAAGTCAGTTATTAGTATTTGTTTTTTAGGATAAATAAACTGGAATGGACAACTTTTTAGATTCAGAAGAAACATAAAAACTTTTAGTCTTTATTAATAATAAGTATTCCTGTTAACATATTAACATGGCTAATCAATTTAATGTTAATTTTTGTCTAGCTGAAATAATCAAGGTAAGTTGTAAGTAGTAAATTACTTTGTTTAAATAGTAACTCAGTTATATATATATATATATATATATATTTTTAATTTGAGTACCGCTAAATATGATGAATATAAAGTTATCCGCTACAAAGGATAAATCGTTATCTGACATTTTTCATAAAATAAAAATGATTACAATTTAATAAATAAATATTTATTAAAGTTCAGAAATCAAGAGGCAGTCTGAGTGTTATGACAACACTATTTCAAAAATATCATTCAGCCAATTATATATGGAATTTGGTCACCACATAGGCATAATTTTGATCTACTTTAACGTTTACAATTTTAGTGAGACCATTAATCTAGTTAGATACTTAGTTTAAAAAAGTTGGAAGTAGTGGTACAATATAAAATAAAAGAAATGTTAGGGAGGTCAGGTTGTAGCATAACAACATTTAAATTAGCTGACCTTATACTTTTTCAGTGATTTTAACACCAATTAAACCAGTTTTGATTTTATGAGTATGATAATATTCTTGTTTTTCCAAGATCCTCTACTGTAATAATTTTTATTTCATGAAAACTTCAGAAGATTTTTTAAGTAAGAATTGTTTTAAGAAAATATAAAAAATGGTATTTAAAGTATTGTTATGCATATATGTAGTACTATACTACATATATGCATTTATGCATAATGAAAAATTAATGACTATTGCTTCTGAGCTATTCTATAAATTATAAATTTCTAAGAATTATACATTGAACTACTCACAATTCTATAGTCTACAGGAAACGCTCCAAGATAAGCAACTACTCCAGAAGATATTAAAACATCACCAATAGCGTTATCTAATGTAAATTGTAATTCTAAAGCAGTTTGGTTCCAGCGACTTTTTTCTCCACTTAAACCGTTAATGAGCTGTTCTGCTCTTATGAGCTTTTGGGAACAAAGATCTATATTGTTTTCTAATTCCTTTTTTTCCTTGGTCTTTTCAGCAAGTTCATCACGAAGTATCTGAAGTTTTCCTAAAACACTTGACAATTCTGCTCTCTTTTCATTAAGTTTTTCCATTTGAATGGTATAATCTGTTTCTGCTTGAAGAAGTTTTTGTTTTTTCGGTCCAACAACCTTTATAACTTTATCATATGTGTCTAATGCTCGTATCCATTTACATAATCCTTCACATGCATTTGAAACAGATTTAATTTTATTTGGATCAAAATCTTTATTTGCAATGTATCTAAAATAATTGATATGTAACAATATTATACACATGTATGGATGTATTATGAAAAAAAATTATAGTCAAAGATCTAATGTGGATTTAACATTGAAAAAGTTAGAGCACATATACCCTTATCAATAATGTTTGTGACAACAAGTGTATATGTAAAAAATATAAATATGCCTAGTTAAAATATATAAAAAAACCACTCTATTTTTAGCGATTGTCATTTTTGGAGATATTTTCACGGATAAAAAATACCACTACAGCAGAACTTAACATAATAGAAACTAGGGCTGAGCCAATAACACTCTTTGATAAATAAAAAAAAATTAAAATATTCTACTTCTATCCATAATAATCAAACATATCCTTTAGAATACATCATTAAATGTATTTTCAGGCCATACAGCTCACTATGTACGTCCATCTTTCCAAATAATTTACTCCTATCAAACTAATAGTTAACACTTCAAATTATAAAAAAATTCGTTTTTACATTTAGTTAATATTCACAGACAAAAATATTATTTCAAATATTTACAATAATTTCAAATTAATGTAAATTTTATAACAAAACAAAGAGTAACAAAAAAATTTAAACATTTACAGATATCCAAATTTAAAAATGAATAAAATATTCGTAATTTGTATAGGAACTAATAAAAACAAACCAAACACAGGGGTCGCGGCGCAGTGGTGACGTGGCATAGTTGGATCAAGTATAATGATATCTGACAGTGATTAAAATCACTGTTGCTTCGATGCAAATCTTTAGATAGTGTTTAATTTAAAAAAATTGATGGATTATTCCTAAAGCTACATGATCTGCTATTTCCTTATTTATATTCTGATTAAGATAAAGTATGTCGAATGTAAATACATACTATTTCTCATAAAAAAACTGTATTGATCCACACATTTTTCAAAAAGTTATAGCATAATAAAGTTAAAAATGTAAAATACAAAATCGAGAATTTTCACACAAAAATAGCATTCGGTAGTCATTTTTACCGTGAAGACAAGATAAAGTCCGAAATTTTTTTTTCCATAATAAAGTATATTACATTAACTTTAATTTAAGATATATATAAAAGTGTCAGACTTTACGGAACACTTCCAAAAGTAAAGTTGAAAAAGTAAATTTTTTGTGAAATGTTGTCATTTTAAATCCCCCTCTGTGGGCAGGTAAAAAGTCAGATTTATAAAAAAAATATACCAAATGATAGGTAAAGACATCATGTATCTATAAAAAAAATGAATTATATTGATCCATACATTTTTCAAAAAGTTATGTTAACGCCACGTAATGGTTCGTGCGTTATTTTATTTCTGTTTTTAATGATTAGCGGACTGTATAATATAAAAATGAAATTCTTAACAATATAATTTTATGTAATTAATATAAAAATGATTTATTAATTCACAAATATAATTCTATACAATTTATAATTAATTAACATTGAGCGGAGCTAGCGGATAGGTTATTGCGGCCGTTGTCGCACTAGTACTGACGCACTGATAATAACAAGTCTTAACATAGGGCCCCCTTTGAACCAATAAGGTTCAAAAGACATAATTAATATGGGATTCACAAAACAATTATTCACAATGAAAAAGGAAACGGCACAAAAATAAAACATTAAAATAAATATTGATGGCATAACTCCAGCTCATAAATAAATGAAGTTCATTAAAAAAATAATAATCACAATAAAAATATAACTTCATAATATCATATACATATAAACAAATATATTTTTATAAAATTAGATGAAACATTAACCATTTATTTTATCAAATTCATTATCTACCGGCTCGTCGAATGGCAAAGGACATAAGTATTGCACTGCACGTTTCTTAAGACCATTGACCGTTTGCACTAAAACTACCCTTACTTCACCATCGCTACCTGGACATACTTCCATGACTCTTCCCAAGCACCACTTCAAAGGGGGTAAGTTGGAGTCTTTTATAATTACCATCGACCCGACTTGCAACATTTGCTTCCCATTCTCTTTCCATTTGGTTCTTTTCTGAAGTTGAGTAATATATTCCATACTCCATCGCTTCCATATCCGTTGAGTTATTTGTTGAACTCTTTGCCACCGTTTTAGTCTATTCTGTTTAAATGTGGATAATTCTTGTTCAGGCAAAGCTACTAAAGAGTCCCCTATTAAAAAATGTGTTGGTGNCCCCTATTAAAAAATGTGCTGGTGTAAGTACAGATAGATCTAAAGGATCTGTGGAAATTGGACATATTGGCCTTGAATTTAAACAAGCTTCAACTTGTACCAGAAGCGTGTAAAATTCATCATATGTCATGGGTACGTTAGTAACACATCGATATAAATGCCTTTTAACACATTTTACTCCAGCCTCCCATAATCCACCCATGTGGGCGGCTCTAGGGGGTATGAAGTGCCACATTATTTTATTGTCATTTGAAAATTGATTTACCCTGTTAAGATGATTCTTTGACTCAATTAAAATTTTTAATTCCTTTAATTTGTTATTTGCCCCTTGAAAACATGTAGCATTGTCTGAATAAATCTTACTACAAATGCCCCGTCTTGAAATGAATCTATTTAATGCTGCTAGAAATGCATCGGTACTCAGATCATTGACTAATTCTAAGTGTATGGCTTTAGTCGCAAAACAAACAAATATACAAATATACGATTTTTGCGCTGCTGCATTTCGTCTATTACTGAATTTCAATAAAAAGGGTCCAGCGTAGTCTATCCCGGTAGTTTCAAAACAACGAGCTGGCTTATCTACGCGCGCTGATGGCAAATTACCCATTATAGGTGAATAACTTTTTGGACTTGCCTTAAAACAAACAACACATTTATGAATAATTTTCCTCACTACTGAGCGGCCATTTAAAATCCAATAACGTAATCGTAAAGACGCTAATACCGCTTGTGATCCTGCGTGTAATAGTCTCTTATGCTCATGTATGATTAATAGCTCTGTAATCTTATCCTCCTTTGGAATAATAATTGGGTGTCTCTGATCGTGTGATAAGTCATTTGCATTTTCTAATCTACCACCTACTCTTATCAGACCATCTTTGCATAAAAATGGGTTTAAATTGAATAATTTACTTTTTGGCAATACTTTACCAATTTTACATAAATTTTCTATGTCTAAATGAAAATATTTATTTTGCAGTGATTTTAATATTAAATTATTTGATTCCCTAATTTCGTCTAGAGATAAAACTCCAGTACTTTTTTGCGTTTTATTTACTTTAGATATGCAATTTTTCTTAAAACGTAATATGTATGCAACTACATTAACTAATTTATTTAGCGACGAATACTTTTGAAAAATTGACAATGAATTGACCGTAGTTGATAATAAAGTGTAATCATATACTCTTCTCCTCTCTTCCTCCACTACTACATTTAGTTTATTCCCAATAGTACACATACTTGGCCATTTTGATTCATGCTCTTGTAACCACCTTGGTCCGTTCCACCAAAGTATATTACCTTTTAATTCTTCCGGAGCACAACCTCGAGATATAATGTCCGCTGGATTGTCACCTGATATTACATGTCTCCAGGCAGATGTATTAGTTCTTCTACTTATTTCAGCAGTTCGATTAGCTACAAAAGGTTTCCAAGTGTTCGGATTCGATTTTATCCACGCTAAGGTAACTGTGGAGTCAGTCCAAAAATAATGTGCGTCTATCTTACATCGCAGTGCAGGAATTATAGTACTAGCCAATCTCGCCAAAAGTACTGCAGCGTTTGATTCCAATCTTGGTATAGTGACACACTTCAACGGGCTCACTCTTGACTTTGCACATATTAAATTTGTAGTAATTAAATTGTTGTGGATTGTACGCATATACAAACATGCACCAATCGCCCTTTGCGATGCGTCTGCAAACCCATGTACTTCAATTTTTACATTTAACTCACAACCTAACCACCGTGGTATTCTTAAAGTGTTGAGATACTGTAAATTATTTATGTACCTTAACCAATCATCTAGTAATAATTTAGGTATCTGCTCGTCCCAATCTATTTTCTCTTGCCATAATTTTTGCATGAATATTTTAGCAACAATAATTACTGGTGCCACGAGCCCTAAAGGATCTGTGGCGGTCGAATATTCTAGAATGTTCGGCCGCCGCCGCCTCTAGAAGATTCGTCGCTCTACATAAGCGTGTGGCGGTCGAATGTTCTAGAGAGTTCCGCCGCCGCTTCTAGAAGATTCCTCTGACTATTTAAGGGCAAGATCGTCGCTCCAGTCAATCAATCGATCAGTCAATCACTTACGCACTCTGTCTTAAACGCGCTTCGTCTCTCGCTGTTATTTGTTATTTGTTAGTTCGTTGTAATATAGTATAGTTGTTATTAAATCATAAAAGTGTTTATTACTTCTATATATATTACACCTCGCTACAGATCGAATAAAGTTGCAATACTTGCTAGAACATGCCGTTTTGTAATATTGCTTTTATTGAGATCTGGAAGTTTGATGTCATATGTATAATAATCATTTGTTGGCTGCCAGCACAACCCTAATGTTTTAATATTTTCTTTAAACATTGCCGTAATCATCTTTGTTATCCTTCTGATTGGGTAATAACCTAACGTTATTTGAAGACCATTTAAATAGTTCAAATCCATAGTTTCTCAAACATTCAATCAATTTATCACGTAAACATAAAGCCTCATCCAAACTATTTGCTCCTGTTAAACAATCGTCTATACAAAAATCATTTTTTAATACTTCTTTCAACTGTGAATCATTAACTTCTTCAGATATGCGGTTAATACAACCAATAGCTAAAAACCCGGATGGTACGAGTCCATATGTCACAGTACATAATTTATAAATATTTATTTCATCTGATTGATTTGAACGCCATAATATACGTTGATAATTCTGATCATCCTCATGTAATAATACTTGTCTATACATTTTTGAAATGTCAGCTGAAAATGCGTATTTATGTGTACGAAAACGTACAACAATATTTAGTAGGTCAGGCT